ATGCCCAGGATCATATCATATGGATCCATATCGAGAACAGTGTACTTTTCGAGGCTGTCAAAGTCTTCAAACTTGACGGCCAGATCCACTTGGACGTTGGGGACAGTGACGACCTTCCCGTCGGCCAGTCGCACTCACACCGTCCCGTTGCCCTTGCTTTCTCTCAAAGCATCAGTCAACTTGTTGCTGTTGCGAGCAACCGTCTGGCGGCGTGCGAAATTCTTCGACGCCCCAGAATCGATCAGGATTTTAAAGGGATGATCGTATCCCCGTACACATCCGTGTACTACGAGCAACCCGCCGCTGCTCTTCGCCGATTCGAGAGTGCGAAGACTCTCAGGGGCTAAGTCCCCGTGGTACGCGCCACCCGCGCACCCATCACGAAGACTTAGTTCTTCCCCAGAAGGGCGCCCCGCCCCTACTGGTTCCCGGCGTTCCCCTGTCCCCGGGATCCTGGCTTCTGCCAGCGACCCTTGAGGACGGGCTTGGGGAAGGACCGTCTGCGGAGTCTTTCCGCTGGACAGTCGCGCATGAAGTGTCCCATCTTCCCGCAGCCGAAGCAGCGGATGTCACGCTGTTCGGCGGACCCGAGTTCCATGGGAACTGGTCCGTTGGGGCTTGTTCGACCGGGAGCCGACAAGGAATTCCCAGGTCATGCTGAGGCCGGCGTACGCGCCTGGCGATGCCTGTACTCTTCTTGAAGAGTCACTTGAATCGCCTCTTCAAGGGTGCTTAACTGCACCCGGAACAGCTCAGTGCGCGCTGGGCTCACTCGAAGACCGTCCATGAACACAGTCATCTTGATGTGTTCGTTGAGTGGGTTTCCCACTAGGGACGCCGTGAGCTCCCGTATCTCTTGCACATACTCGTGCAGCTCGCGCCTCCCTTGTTTACACGAGAGGAAGCGCGAACGCTGGCGGTACTCGTAGCTCGCCGGGAGGAACGCGGCTCGGAGCTGTTCAAACAGCTGAGCCCAGGATGTAAAGCATCCAGGGGATGTTGCTTCTCGTGTGTACACCCAACTCTTAGCACGGCCGCTAAGGTTGGAGAGTGCAAAAGCAACACGCAGCTGCTCGGTCGAGATCAGAGCCGCGTCCATCGCGAGCTCTACTTCTCGGACCCAGAAGTGAAGGTTCTCGCCTTCCTTCCTCTCATACGGCTTAACCTTCTGCCGTATTGGCTTCGGGTGAGGCGGATTTGCTTCCGCCGCCGGAGCCTGCAGGTTCTCCCGCACGTGCGCGATGAGCCCTGCTCGTACGCGTCGAACGCATTGACGCGCTCGAGCTGCTCAGCCGGTGTTGACACCACCAGGCTCTGCAGGGCCTCCATCCCGAAGATGCCTGCCATCTTCCGAACCGACTCGAACTGAGATTCGTTCATATGGGAGAAGTCGTTCCTATCCATGGCAACGAGCTTCGGAGAGGTTCAGGTAGTTTACCCGCGATGGCGTGGATTGACTACGAGTGCTACCAAGTGTGACGGGGTCACACAGCACCTTGCGCGAGAGGAAGTTATCTTCCGAGAGTATACAAACTCTCAGTGAACGGCAGTTCACAGGTCCCCTCTTTATTTAAAGAGAGCGAAGTGACCTAAATAAGGTAGATTGTAAACTGAGTATATTTATAGGTAGATTAACATGTGGATGGCTGTAGGCGTCTTCTGTCGCTTGTCCTACCGGTAGGACAAGGTCAAGAGTGATGGTTACATACAATTTCCAAGTGAAATGTGTTCTGTATTACCTTCTAGCGAGCTTGTGAAGCTTCTAAGTGCTGATGATAACACGTTCTACCTGTCATTGTTCCACAGAGTGCAAAGTAGGAATCTTCATTGCCGTCTGAGCATGTGGCACAGTAAAACGATGCCTTCATCTTGCATATCTTGCATCGTCGTTGTGCTCGCTGGGGTGTCTTCTTGAGCCGTTTGTATCGAGGGCGATCTCCTAGTGCTAGAAGCGAGTGGACAGGGACGCTGGCGTCGTCCATATCGCCATCCACATTACCATCTCTCCTTACCCTGCCTGTTAGATAGTCGTTAAAAATCAACTGGTGTGCTAATCGGGAAGCAAATTCGCCAAACGCAACCGTAGAGCAGGCAACGATATTGTTGCTCTTGGTCTCATGCTGGTAAGCAAGATAGGAATCCACAATAACCATCCCGAGAGTCGTGGCAAATATTCTGTGCGCCCACGAATGCGTAAGCCATTGACGCTCCATCTCTAGTGACCCTTGTCGATAATGGTCGTGCACGTCAATTGTTGAAAAATGCCGAAAGAAAAGCTCCACCATGTATGGTCGAGGTATTCTTTTTTCGTAGCGCTCTGTGCGAATTTCGCCACCGGTAGCAACGCGTCGATGTCGAACACGCACGCTATCAGAACCAGGTAACGTGGTTCCTCTGTTAGATATTATCGTCTTGGGCTTTCGATCATTCCAGCAAAGCGCGTACATTTTCGACCCATTCGGGCAGCGACTCTCCATGACTGTGTGGCTGCCACGAGGGCGCGGAACACTAGACCAACTTTTGAGATGGGCCATAAGATATTCTTTGGTCGCAGTTTTAACCATACCCATGAAATACAACCCCATCATTGAATTAAGCTGGACTAGTGTCTTTACAGACGAAAAGGCACTATCGGCGACGACGGTGCGGCCACTGCCAGCATACGGTTGAGCAAGTCGTAGGACAACAGCAGTGCCCTCCCCGAAGTCAGCATTGTATGCTTTTTGACGTTGCCGATGTGCACCTTCCATTAGATCTAGACCTAGCAAAATTCCAGTGTCGCCATCAGCAATAGATTTTAGCTCCGCCCCAACACCCTCTGGTTTCCGCTGGATCTTGGTAAGATGAGGAATTCCGTCATGTGTATACTTTTCCTCCCTTCCTTGCCAAGAGCTCATACACTCATCCACGCATAACACTGCGCCAGGAGAAATGACTTTTTTCCGTTGCTCATTAAAAGCAACAATTAGAAGTCTAACTGCCCGCCAAGGGTCCTCAGCTGGTCCTTGACTCGGCGCAAACCGAAGCGCACCTTGAATATTCTGAAAAGTTCGGCAAGTCATTCCGTAGAGTTGGCCATAATTAGCAGCGGTTCCCACGGTTCCTTCTGGCACAGACGAGTTCCAATATACCGTCATGGGCCCACGTCGGGGTTCTAGAGTCATAGCCAACCTGATGCCAATCCAACGAAAGAATTCGCCTCGACCAATAACTCCATGGCGTCTCTCCATCAGC